ACTGCAGATTTTAAACGAACGCACCTAATACAAGGTGATATCGGCTGAGAAAAAACTCAAGTATACCCAAGCTCAAAACCTAAAAATTCAACTTGCCAATACGAATGACCTGTAGTAATGGCTGCTCCAAGGCGAATGCACACGACGGCAATCAGTACAAAACAAATTTACAACCGCAACCAAGGCGAATTTATATAAGTTGTTGTTATTGGCGAACTTAGATTTTTGCCGCGGTACTTCTGAATTTCAAAATGATGTGTTTGTTGCAATTTCAATTCGCCTTGTTTACAACAAACACATAATTTTGACATTCAGAAGGAGCGCCGCGAAAACATAAATTCGCCTCGACCGCAATAGTGGAACCGCAGCAGAAATCAAATTTCGACGGGAAGACCACCTTATATGAATACACCTTGGGCTACTCGGTNCTTTCACTACATATATTTCACAAATCTTTGGACAATTTTTAATGTTGTAAAAAAAACATCTCATCGTGTTAGATCGCTTCGATGTATACTGGACAAGTATTATTAGTTAAGCACACCCTCAAATACCTGCTAAACAGCGTTCTTTTGCCTATGGTAGTCGTGTGTATATGATTTTGAAAAGACGGATCCGATCAGGACCACTGTCATTGAAAAGCGTTAGCGTTAAAGATTTGAACCTATTGTGTATATAGTAGATGTCTAAACACTAAAATCATCCTCATAACAGGTGAGCTTAGTAGCAAAAATATAAAACATAAATGTGCTGTGAACTCGCTCGTTCAATTTCTAGCTACAACTCAAAAGTTCAATTTATTGAAACTACTTAATATTTCTTCCGCAGAATTGCGTCTAGTTAAGCTACAAAATGGTGCCAGTGATGATATTTGAATTAGTTTTAATTGGTAAGCGCTCCAACAATTTAAATTTCAAGTTATTTTTTACAAATACTATTTGCTTTTTTTCCAGGAATATCAAAACCTACGTTTTATTGATTAAAACACTATCCATAATAAAATTCCAAGGCTGAGGACACGAACGTTTTTTCACATTCTGCTTTGCTGTTAAGAAGATATTTTATTATCGGAGCATACAAGTAATGGCATACAACCATTTATATATTTTATAGCAAGGCAGAACAACGGAGATTATAACTAGATACTATGCATAATTTTTTTTTGCTTATTTCCATTGCACACTTTTAATGAGTATGACGACAAAAAAATAATTAATTACCCAGTAGATAATTTCAGGAGTTAAAAGCCCTTCCGAAAGGCCTTTCTGAGAGTCCAGAGGCCTTCCGCTCTACAATTATTTCTTCTTTCTTTTTTTGTATAGAGTGGCACAAACTGAGGGGCTTCTGTCTTCGCTACCCATGGAAGGCCTTCCAGAAG